GTGCCTAAGATCCCGAGAGGAGAATGGAGGAGAAGGGATTGTGCCATGGTCATCCACCCCCCCCTCGGGGGGGGGTGACTTCTCACTTTCTGTCTGTCTGTCTCTCTGGTGAGCGCACGAGCCCTATGGCAAAAATATCTCTTAAAAAACAAAAAACACCTAAATATGAGTCTGGAAGGCAGCATGGTGGTTAAAGATGCTGGACTCCCACATGGCCAATTGCATTTGGAGTTTCAGACCTGACAGCTTCCTTTCTCACTTTCCCTTTCTCTCTCTCTAGTAAAATTAAAAATTATAATAATAAATAAAATATATACTTTTTAAAATTATTTAATTTCATTCATTATTATTATTTTTTAATTGACCCAAGAGAGACATAGAGAGAAAGGGAGAGAGGGAAAATGAGAAAGCAAGCCACCAAGTCCAGGACTTGAACCTTGGTTAACCACATGGAAGTCTAGCACCTTAACCACCATGCCACCTACCAGCCCCAAATATAGTTTTTAAGGAAACTTAAGTACAAGGCCAGCAGATGGCGTTGTTAAGATGGTTGATAGAGGTTTGAGTCCCAGACTTAGTAGTTTGCTTTCTCACTTTGTCTCTCGGTCACTCTCTCTGGTGAGAACTTGTCCTATATTGCAAATAAAAAACGATGATGACAAATAGGATTAATAGTTCTTTTTTTTTTTCTTCTTTTTTTGGAGACGTTTTTGCTATAGGGTGCGTGCGCTCGCCAGACAGAGACAGACAAAAAGCGAGAAATCAGGGAACCAGCAGTTAGCGTAATGGCTATGTCGCTGGACTCCCACGTAGTCGACCGCGGTTCGCGTCCCGCACCCAGGGGCTTGAAACTCACGCTGGGCGCGTGTGCGTGCGTGCCCAAGATCCCAAGAGGAGAATGGAGGAGAAGGGATTGCGGCGTGACCATCCCCCCTGGGGGGGGGTGATTTCTCGCTTTCTGTCTCTAATTGCGGCATGACCATCCCCCCTGGGGGGTGATTTCTCGCTTTCTGTCTCTATGTCTCTGTCTGTCTGGCAAGCGCACGGGCCCTATAGCTAAAATCTCTCCAAAAAAAAAAGCGAGAAATCACCCCCCTGGGGGGGATGGCCACACCACAATCCCTTCTCCTCCATTCTCCTCTCAGGATCTTGGGCACGCACTCACGCACACGCACCCGACGTGAGTTTAAGCCACCGGGTCTGGGACTCAAACTGCGGTTGACTACGTGAGTCCAGCAACATAGCCACTATACTAACTGCTGGTCCCAGAATTAATAGTTCTTGAGAAAAAAAAAAAAGTGCATGTAGAGAGCTGCCAATCTGAGCAAACACGGTGACCTTTAGACACATGCAGAAATACAGTTCCATGAGATTCATTTGCATGGCAATGAAATCAATTTGCATGTGAATACACCAGCTTCCCAATACTGCAGGGCAGTATCTGTCTAAGGAAACCACATGTGTTTATCAGATTTTGCCCCAAAAGATCAGAGAAACTACATGGCACCGGCCAGTCGGTTTCACATCTTCAGACCTTTAACATCCAAAACAACTGGCTTTGCACTTCAGTTCTTCTTTCCTCATTTTTTTGCCCTCTTGAGAGTAAACCTGAAGCTTTCTCCATCAGAGAAGTTGGGCCCACCCAATCCTGGCTTTTCTATACTTGTATGTCTGTGTTTATTTTTATGTTTATTTCTAATCCACAGCCCCCTCCTCCTGCCCTCTGGAAAAACGCATTCTGCTGAGCAAGTCCTGGCGAGTGCATTCATTTGGTCTTTAATTAAATATCTCATTTATCCACTGAATCATTCCACCCTGTGGCAATAATTTCAGATTCAGCTGTATTAATCTACAAACTTGATAAGCATGTTACATGTGTATGATTGCTGTGGGTAAAGCTTCCAGTTCAAAAACAACAACTGAATAAAAATGTTGAGAGCAGACTTTTTTTTAAAAGAATTATTTTATTTAACTTTATTTATTTATTTTAATTTGACCAAGGAGGGGAGAGAGAAAGTGAGAAAGTAAGCCACCAGGTCTGAGACTTGAACCATGGTCAGTCATGTGGGAGTCCAGCATGCTTAAACACTGCACCACCTGTCAGTCCCTAGAGCAGACATCTTTTTCGTCTTTTTTGGGGGGATAAAATCTGATGCTAGTCGACATTAGTTGTAGGGTTTTTGTAGATAACCTTTATCAGGTTAAGGAAGTTTTCTTCTATTTCTAGTGTGTAGAAGGTTTTTATCATCACTAACTGTTGGATCTTTTCAAATACTTTTTCTGGGGAACCAGCAGTTAGCGTAATGGCTACATCGCTGGACTCCCACGTAGTTGACCGCGGTTCGGGTCCTGGACCCGGGGGCTTAAAACTCACACCGGGCGTGTGTGTGTGCGTGCCCAACATCCCAAGAGGAGAATGGAGGAGAAGGGATTGTGGCGTGACCATCCCCCCTGGGGGGTGATTTCTCACTTTCTGTCTCTATGTCTGTCTGTCTGGCAAGCACATGCACCCTATAGCAAAAATCTCTCAAAAGAAAAAAAAAAAAAACTTTTTCTGTGTTGAGTAAGATGATGGTGTAGTTTTTGTCTTTCCTTAGCATGTTATTTATATCATAATAATATTGGTATTGCATAAGGCCAAGGCAAAGATTTGTAATACCTCACTAGAGATCTCCTTCCTAGGGGAAACAAAGATTTATTCCATCTTCGGTATAGGCACTGTAGTGTGTCCCGACCCGGGGGGACAGCCGAACGGGTTTCCTGAGTGAAGGAGTGAGAGCCGGGGCAAGCAGCGTAGTGTTACAGCACGGAGACGACAGTGTCGTCTGTTTATTGTGGGCAGCACGGTACAGCACAGAGACGACGCAGTGTCACAGTTCTTAAGGGTCGCGTCGTCTACTGTGAGCAGCACAGAGACGACGTGGTATCACAGCTCTTCAGGGTCGTCCGGAGACGATGTAGTGTTACAGCTCTTCAGGGTCTCCCAG